TTCCCCCACCCCTAACGCTACGGCTGCCGCCCTCTCCGCTGTCTGCCCTCTCCTGCTCCAGCTCCGGAACTCCCCTCGGCTCTACCTTCCCCCGGGCGCTTCCCTCCGCCCCCTCCCCGCAGCCCGCCGCTCGGACCGCGCTCGCCGCCACCTCCCCCTCCCCGCAGGCGGCCTCCGCAGAGCTCCGACCGGCCGGTGTGCCTCGCTCTCTTCGTTTCCTTTTTCTCTACCTGCCCCCTTCCAGATCCGCAGTCCCCTTCTCTCCACCACCGAGCACACGAGCCCCCTTCCCAGTCCCTCCTTATTTTGTAACTAACTTAACACTTTCCCCAGGTCTGGTCCTTAGCCTTTGCCCTACAGCTCAGCTCCTTAAAGCTTCCAGATTGCCAAACTTTTATGGTAATTATGGACCGTAACTCTGCCCTTAACACCCATGCCCTCCAGGATGCCGCGGACCTGCCCGAGCCCCCCCTGATTGCAGGAAGCAAACCAGGAAGTCGGAGCTACAGCTGCCGCAGCAGCAGCTCCACGTGGCTGATTTATAGCTGGGAGGATTTTTTTTTCCATATATATATTGATCTTGCTTTTTCACACGGCTTCTAGAGGAGGTGGATTTGTAACCGAAAGGCTCAGGTGAGATGTGCAAATATCACTGAACTAGAGGAGCTCACTTGGAAAGCCAGTATTACTCTTGCCCTTGAGCTAATTAGAAGAAAGCCAATTGTCTTCTGCTAATAAGCAGTGAATCCTTGATCTTAGATTTCTACCCAGAGAAAACAGTTTCAGTTTTTAAGACAATACTTACCCCTTATTGTTTCCCTCACACCTGATTTTTGCCTCTTGATGGACTTTCCTTTTCTGTCCATGAGACCTGACGCCCTTGAAAGGATGTTGGTAATTACCAAGCCCCTTCTCAAGGAAATATTGTGCCCATATCTTCCAACAAAGATGTCCATCACTATATATCATGGAGTGTATGTTATTGCATTATTAGTGTGCCATACGCTGAAATGCCTAATTAAACAGAATGTTTAAAATTTTGTCCTTTGTTTTAGTATGGTCAAAGTATACTTTTTCATAATATTACTTCAAATCTGCAAGGGTTTTTTTGTTGTTTTGCTTTTGGGGTTTAAAACAAGTAAAACCTGGTTATTTAGTCTGCCTCAGTGATTAAACCTTGCATTTGTGCTCTCATTTTCACAGTCAGAAAGACAATCTTTTGTTATGAATAAAATCAGAAGCTTGATTTTTGCTGTTATAAACATAGCTGCTCAGTATACAAATGGAAAGTGGTACTTATGGCTAAAGCCGTTTGAATGGTTCTTTTAGAGTATTCTAGGGAGATCCTGCCATCACCACTTGCACACAGAACTGGAAATACAAATGAAAAGGCCACAAAGTTAGAAATTAATCAATGTGTATACAGTAGTAAAAGACCATATTTCTCTGAATTCTAACAATGTTTAAAAGAAACCTAACATACACCTTAAAATAAATGGCTTTTACCACATTTGCTGGGATGCAGCTTTCGAAGAGTTGACAAGTCTGTTGAGAAAGAAGATGAGAAGCTACATTCAAAGCTTAGGTCAGGGTAAGCCACTCTTAACCTTTTTTAACCGAAGGCTCTTATCTACCAAATAGTGATTATACTGCATGATATTATCAAAGGGAATAACTGAGGCCAAGTACAGAGCAGATATACAGTTAATGTAATGGATTAAGTCTTAATGTATGGGTGTAATTCTTGTTTTACAAATGCCATAGCTGTTACTGTATGACAGGGATTGTTATTTTTTGGGGGTACTTCTGGCTTGTCTAACACAGGGAAACGTTCACTGGGGAGGAAAGTAACGTCTAGAGCGTAATGGGATGAGCATAGGAGATGGTGTCTGCCAGGTTAGAAGGTCACATATGGTTGACATGATGCCTTCAGTTCAAAGATCAGCTGGGGGCTCAGAAGCAAAGTAGCCAGAAAGGAGGTGAATTCTTTGAACACCTGGTATGGGTAAGAGGTTTCATGTTTTATTTTTTCATGTAACCTTTACACAACCTGAGATTAGTATTACTGTCATTTCTAAGCTGGGATTCAAAACACGTTTTTTCACCTCAAAATTCTTGCCAGTACATACATAATTTTTGCCAAGTAATGATTATGGTTATCTTATAATATTACATAATAGTATTTATTATATAATGTTCTCAGATTGGATGCAGAAGATCAGATTTGTTTTGTTTTATTTAAATTTTTTCCCATGTCAACTCTGCTACAAAGGAATCCACTATAAGGAACTGTGTCCATCCTGCACTAACTTGAGACTCTCACCATGCCTTCCTTCTATGTGCTACACTAAGGCTGAAGGTCTAAGTTTCTCAATGTAACTCACTTGCCTTTGGGCCTTTATATAAGGAGCTGCCCCCCACCCCACCCCCGAAATATCCTGTGACACCTTACCATTAAACTTGGATATCAATTACAAAAGCTTTTCTAGACTCTCTCCCATGCCCCTTCTACTAAGGTACAGGGTTAGGTCTCTTGCTAGGGGCTTCCATTGCACCTTCTACTTCATCCCTAACGATTATCACTGTGTTGTAATTCCTGAATTGTTTTCCCACTCCCAGATTAAATTTGCAAGAATCTGGAGATTTGTCTAATTAACTATTGTATCCCTGTGCCTGGTGTGTCAAAAGAGTTTAATAAATATTTCTTGATGGAATGCTGAGTGAATAATTGGATTATGAATAAAAAACAGGAAATGAAACTTAGAAGAGGGGTGGGGACTGCTTCATTGGCTATTCTTTACCTGAAGGTTCTTCCCAGAATAAAAGTTTGGGGGTTTTGTTTAGTGTTGTGATTACTTTTTACACTGTCATCTCCATTAACTGATAGGCTGTTGTTTCCCTTTTACTCAATATCCTACTAAAAATACTCACAATTAAGAAGAAAATGATAGCTTTAAGTTGAGATTTTTTTTTTTAATCTTTTGACGGTTGGGGTTTTTTTTTTAAGGTTTATTGAAATAGGAACATTCAGCTATGGGCAATTACTGTTTATGGCCAAATTTCAATTTTAACTCTGTCTGGTTGCCAAGAATTCAGTTAAATTAGAATCAGTGACCTGTAAATTACTAGTTAAATATTCTGTTGCCTATTCTGGAAACCATTTAATCATCTCTTTTCAAAGGAGATCACCAGTGGTTGTATTTCTAAATCAAGATAATATCTTATTGTGTATAACAATTACTATTTAAATGCATATAGTTTGTAAAGAGTTTTTAATTTTGTATGGGGTTTATTTTCTATTACTACACAACAAATTATACCAAAGTTTAACACTTTGAAAGAACAAACCTTTGTTATTTAACCCTTTCGAGGTTCAGGAATCAAGGAGTGCCTTAACTGGTATTTCTGGCTCAGATTCTCTCATGAGGTTCTTGCCAGGCTGTCAGTAGAATTGCAGTCAGCTCAGCTCAGCTGGGCCTGGAGAACTGGCTTCCAAGTTCATTCACATGGCAAACAGAAAGACGTTGGTAACTCACAGGTGGTGGGTGGGACACTTCAAGGGAGGAAGGCTAGAGCTCAAGACCCACTAGCTGGTACCATGTTGGAGGCTGGGGCAACTACAACAGATGTGAATACTAATAGGCAGGGTCCATTGGGAACCATTTTGGAAGCTCAGGAACAGTGTTAGTAATTAAATATATACATCAAAATACCTGATTTTCATTGTGAAAATTAAGTTGTCATTATAATGTGCTGAAATCTTCCAAGAAGAACCCAGATCTTAAATAATTGCTTATTTCTGATTATTTTGTCTACTGTTTTCATCCATAAAATGAAGACATTGGACAGAATGACCTTTGATATCCCTTTCAGTACTGAAATTCTGAGGATGACTATAATGTTAATATATGGTTAACACTTATGTTCTCATGTGGAATACTATGAAGTCAAACTCTGCATATATATTTTTTCCAACATAGATTACTATTTCTATTATAAGCTTAGTGGGTGATTCCTGAGTTGTACTCATCTGGAATAAAAGACTGTTGTCAAGGCTCCCATTTGATGAGGTTAATGGTTTCCTACAATGTTCTGAAGGCAAAAATGCTTATTTAAAAGCCCTCTTAGATTTCACACTGAAGAATACTACCTCTTCATAATTTGGTACTGTTTTTGGACTCCCATAATTCCGAGTGCTCTTTTGATTTAAACATTTGTTTAGGAGGAGATTGAAACAGATTGTATTTCCTACTACTCTTGTTTGAAACCTCTTAAACAGCTTCCCATTGTTCATGGAATTACACCCAAACTCCTCAATGTATTGCAAAGACTTTTATGACCTTTCATCTGCTTATCTCCATAGACTCAAAGCTGGTCAATTACCTTTTTTCCAGCTTAAACTATAGCCATGTTGATGTCTCTCTGTTTCTGGAACAGTTCAAATTCAAGCCCACACTTCTATCTCACTTCTAGGTTTTTATGCACGTTATTCCCTTTCCCAGGATTCTCAGTAGTTTCTGTACCAGTCCTTCCCCCATCTTGGCCTGTGCCAGTGCCATCAAACTCCTGATAATCTTTCAAATTTCAATTTATACATCAATTCTTTCAGATCCCTCTGATTCTCTTCAACCCCTACATCCTTGCTGAGTCCAGGATCCCTGATTCATACTCAGAACATCCCATAAGTTCTCTCAGAGTATGTCACCTCCATTAGAACAAGTTTTTTAGCATTGTGTTCCTAGGATACTGACAGTGCTTGCACAGAAGACATGCTCTATAACTTGAGTCGAGTAAATGGGGGAAAGTATGTTGATGCCTTCATTGGTTTAAGCATAGAGAAGTTTAGAAGCATCCTTTTTCAATTATGAATTAATATATCTTGAAAGGAACTAATATCTAAATTTTTGCTAAATATTTTACAGATAGGTGATTTTGCCCTGATTTGGAGGTTGGAAAAGAAGGGTACACTATTCTGCATCTTGTTTGACCAAAATGAGTACTATAATTCCTAGTGCTATAATTCCTAGCAACTGATAGCTGCTTGAAACTAACTGGTCAGTGATGGGAATATGAGTTGCCCAGAACTTCACAACCCTTAATGTAAATTAAACCCTTAATGTAAAATATTCTAGCCTATTTCTTACTAATATTGATGATCTCTTAGAGCATAACTTTAAAAAAACAGGTGAAATAGAAAGAAACTACATCAGTAAAAGAGCCAAAGAATCCATTCTTCCATATGTAAAATGAGAGATTTGACTAGACTCTAATTTCCCTTTACAGATTTCACTGAAGAAAGACTCAGGTTCTCAGCAGAATGGTTAAATGACCAGAAAGTCTTCAGAACTGAAATTTGTCAAGGTATTACTGTAAATCCTATTACAGTTTGTGCATATGAACTTCTGCATCAGTGAACAGACGGTTAGTTTCAAACAGCTGTCAGTTTATTATCACATCCCTCCAGAGATCTTGCTTATCCAGTTAAGCCCAGAACCTCACAGTGTTTAATGTGAGAATCTGATTCCTACAAGGCAAATTGGACTCTGTTTTGTTAATATTGATAATCTCTCAGCATAATTTATGCAGTGGATGGAATGGAGAGAAATGATGTCAGTAAAAGTGCCAGAGAACCCATGCTGCCATATGTAAAATGAAAGATTTGTCTGGACCACAGTGGGTGTAGCTGGATAAGCAAAATCTCTGTAGGGATATGCAGGTGTTTAGACCTAGAGAGCCGGACCAAGGAGGAAGCAATTCTCCTGTGCTTATCCAAGATGAGATGTAGAGCCTACAGAACAACCTGATAGGAACAGCATAGAAGTAGTTTATATCATCTTCATTTTCTAATTGGTTTTTGATTAGTTTAAATAAGATTTGGATTATTTTTAATAATGAACTCTATTCCTACATACCTTTTTAGATACTTCAGAGGAGATAAACAGAATTGAATATAAATAAAGAGATCTTGAGACAGACAGTCAAGAGATTGTATAGGAAGGTTATCTAGGAATTAGAGGCTCTATAGGAACTAGTTACCTGTCAATTGCAAACTTTTATTTTCCATCTATGCCATGCTGCTTCTCAGTGATGCCTGGAAATTTTTTTTTCTCTTTTTTTTTTTAAAGTTATTTCCCAATAACTGAACAGTGAACAAGTCCCTTTTTCTCTTTTATTTGAACACATGACTCTATATTAAATGAGATTAGAGAGCCACACCAGGGAATTGTGGGCCAAGAGTGCAGATCTTCAGGGGAGTTCAAAATACTGTCATTTAGATAAATGTACCTTTTGGCATATTGCAAAGAGTTTTGAAATTTGAATTTTAATTACATTTCTTTTTGGAGAGTGGTCTTTGAGGACTCAGTCTTTTGGGATGGCTTCTATTTCTCAAACCTTATAACATCATTTTTAATGAAGTGAATCCTTTCCTGTGATCTTTTATTATATATTTATAGATTTTCTAGTCAACCTGTTATTTGAGCACATTTGATGTGCTAGCCATTGTTCTTAGATGCTGGGAATATAGTAATAAAAGCAAAAATTCTTGTCCTCTTGGCATTAGCCAATAAACCAATATGTAAATTAATTATTATATATTGTCATGAAACAAAAAGTCAGTTGTGTCAAACATTTGTTCTAAAAAGTTTACAAAGAATAACTTTTATTTTAGATGGTATATTAGAAGATAAGTGTTATAGAGAGAAATAAAGCAGAAAAATGGAATATGAAATGCTGGATGAGGATGAGGGGAGGTTTCCACTTTAAGTAGCCTGAGATGTCACAGAGAAGATAACATTGAACAAAACCTGAAAGTGGTGGGAAAACAAGCCAAGTGAATATCTCAAGAGAGATGGCTCCTATCTGGCATGAAGAGCAATAGATACAAAGGTCCTAAGGCAAGAATGTCTGAGGAGAAGCAAGGACAGGGGAGCTAAGGCTGAGAAAGCGAAGGAAGAAAATTGAATCCTAGTACTCACTGTGGCTTTTATTTAGAGGTGGGAAGACACTGGACCATTTAGTGCAGAGTGGTGGCATGATCTAACATATCTGAATAGAATCACCATGGAGCAAGAAGGTGGGAAAGGAAAGGATTAAATAAATAAAAAAGACACACCTTCTGGGTTTGGTTTGGAAAGAAACAAAGAAATTTTAATAATCCAGGTGAAAGATTATGGCAGCATAGACTAAGGATTATAACAGTAGCAGTCCTTAGAATAGGCCAGAATATGGATATATTTGATTCTTTTTCAACCATTATGGTTCCAAATAATTAAGTTTATTGTTTTGCTTTTGTGCTATCTGTAAGTAGTTAAATTAATAACCTGTAAAGCAATTCTAAATGCTTTAACAACACACAGAAACTATAAACAATTACTCAATCATTTGTTTAACGTCTTTTGTTAAGATTTTCATGTATTACAATATATTTTCAAATGGAACATCCTGTATTTACAAATTATATGTCCCATGCAACAATAGTAGCACTTGAGGTGCCAGGATCAACCGCTCTGTTGAAAACAACTGAAAATACCAGGTAAAATTTTTATAATCTTTTTTTTTTTTTTTTTTTTTTAGTGGTGGTGGTGCTGGGGATTGAATTTATGCATGCAAAGCAAGCACTCTACCAACTGAGCTATATTCTGATCCCCTGTAATCTTTTAAAATGCATCCATGGGTAATGAGAAAATAAAGAATGCTAAGGTCATGGTCTCAATAAAGAAGATAAGCTGAGCACCCAAACTGGCTTTTACCTTCAGGGCTTTGACCTATCCTCAGTGTTATGGTTTGGATGTGGAATGTCCCACCAAAACACACCTGTTGAAAGCATGGTCTCCAGTGTGGCAAGGTTCAGAGATGGAGCTTTTAGGCAATGATTGGATTATGGGGGCTCTGGTCTCATCAGTACATTAATCCATTTATTGATGATTGTATGGACTACAGGGAGGTGAGATCTACTTGGAAGAAGAAGGTCACTGGGATGTGCCATGGAAGAGTTTATCTTCTCCCTGGTCCCTTGCCCTCCCACCCTCTGCTCCCCAGATGCCATGAGATAAGCAGCTTTTCTCTTTCGTGTCATCTGCCATGATATTTTTGCTCAGAACCAGCCAACCATGGACTGAAGTCTCTGAAACTATGATCCAAATAAAATTTTCCTCCTCAAGTTGTTCTTGTCATATATTTTGTTCACAGCAATGAAAACATGACTGATACACTGAGGTATCTGTGTATCGCTTTTATTCTGAGTTTATGAGTTTAAGAACAAAAAAATATGCAGAATCCCATCCATAATAGACTGCAAAACCTAGGCTTTCCAAAGAACCACATTCCCAAGTTAAAAAATAATTAATTACCCATTCCCCTTACTCTTTAAGAAGAAACTTCCCTCTACATGTGCCCACACCATCATCTAAGAAGCTAGTAATCATAAATTGGCCCTCATGCTGGTTTGTAACCAGAATTCACACTACCTGGGTGGCTAGAAAAACCTCAAAACCAAGAATGTAGTTAGAAGTGGGCCCAGACCAATAATGTCATAGGCAAATTGAAAAACAAATACAAACCTATTTGTAAAGAACCCCCTTTACCTCACATTTTGAAAAAAATATTCCATCCTTGTGGTCTCTTAAAAAAAAAAGTTGAAAATCAATGAATACCTGAGGCACAGTAAGAGCCTGCAGAAATAATAAACTACAAAATAAAATGCATAAAAAAACCTAACAGTTGTAACTGTGGAACACAGAAAATAAAATATGCTTAATACATCTTAAGAAGTGAAAAGAGAACTCTGAAAGATGAGTAAAATCAAGAAAAGACCTAATTTCCAGAAGTAAAAACTATAATTGAGATTTTTTCTAAAAAAATGAGTGGGTTAAGTTACATACTAGAATTATTATTATTGAAATGTTCTCATCTCTTGGGTTCTGGAGTTCTGGTTTTGTGTTTTTGTTTGTTTCTGTCTTTCAGGTCACTCAGTCAAAGTCTCACTAACTCTTCTACTATCTCTAAAAAAAAGGCATCCTTTGGAATTTAGAGAATTTTAGTTCTTCATCTTTTCCTCAGTACTTAATCTTTTCCTGGTTTAGCCATTCACAAGGTTTTGACTATGTTAATAATTCCCACACCTGACCCTTTAGCACAAATTGTATTCTGAACATTAGACCTACAGGGCATTGCTCACTTGGAATCTCCCTGTGGTACTTCAAAGTCAACATTTCCAGAGTGGAATTCCTGTATTATCCCACCAAATCTTCTATTCTTCCTGGGCTCTTGATTTAGCCTTTGACACTCAAAACATGAAATTTCTGAGAAATCTTCCATGGTTTCTCCTACTTTTCTCTTCCAGATCTGGTTGTTATCAAGTCAGGGCCACTCTAGCATTGATGCTTCCTTTTGCTTCTATTCCCACCGCTGAAATTCAGGATTCCTTGCAGTTTCTTTCATCACCTTCTAACCTCTCATCTCTTCAAATGCTAATTCCTCTCACTATCAGAATCATTTTTCTAAAAATATTAGTTTAATCCTATCACTACTGGAGCAAAATGTTTTAGTGGTTCACACTGAAAAGTGATAGTTCATTGCATCCTGGCAAGTATAATCTCTTCAAATAAAGCTCTACACACAGTGTTGTTGCACTGGTTGGAGTGCATCATGAAGATTATAGGTTTTCATGGACTTTTGGATAGAGAATGTTAGACACCCAGACTGATAATGGATAAGGAAAAGATGCTACAGCATCATACTGGGTAAATCCTCGATACAAAATTGTCTTAGGTTATGTTCACAGCAACCTAATCTCCTACTTTAGAAGAAGTGGCAGTTGGTGAAATCCCTTATAGTCACTCAACCAGGAACCACCAGATAGATGACTTCAAGTAAAATGAAAAAAAAAATCAAGATAAGAGTCATAGAAAAATTGCTATAGAACAATGGAATGGGGGTTTGGAAGTTTTTAAGACTTAGAGAAAGGGGAACTTTCCAGAAAGCTTGGTGGGAGGCAGGGGAACGGCGGCTGCCTGAGTTGCAGACAGTTAGGGTGCTCCTTCCCACTCCCCCACATCAGCCCCAACCTACTCACCTGCTGTAGAAAATGGTGAAATAAACCACTTATTATGATGTTTCGGGGGTCAAACCCAATGCCACCAGAAAGAATTGAAAAGACACAGAAACTGGCCTTGAAGTACCACCCTGATAAGAATCCAAATGAAGGAAAAAAAGTTTAAACAGATTTCTCAAGCTTATGAAGTTCTCTCTGATGCCAAGAAAAGGGAATTTCATGACAAAGGAGAATAGGCAATTAAGGAGGGTGGAACATGTGGTGGTTTTGGCTCCCCCATGGACATCTTTAATATGTTTTTTGGAGGAGGAGGAAGGATGCAGAGAGAAAGGAAAGGTAAAAACATGTGTCAGCTCTCAGTAATGTTAGAAGATTTATATAAAGTGCAACAAGAAAACTGGCTCTGCAAAAGAATGTGCTTTGAGACAAATGTGAAGGCCAAGGTTGGTAAGAAAGGAACAATAGAGTGCTGTCCCAACTGCCAAGGTACTGGAATGAAAATAAGAATTCATCAGATAGGATCTGGAATGGTTCAGCAAAATCAGTCTGTGTGCATGGAGTGCCAAGGCCATGGGGAACAGATCAGTCCTAAAGATAGATGAAAAATTGCAATGGAAGGAATATAGTTCAAGAGACAAAGATTCTGGAAGTTTATATTGACAAAGGCATGAAAGATGGACAGAAAATAACATTTCATGATGAAGGAGACCAAGAGTCAGGAGATATTGTGTTAGATCAGAAGGACCATGCTGTTTTTACTCGATAAGGAGACAACCTTTTCATGTGTATGGACATACAGGTGGTGGAAGCATTAGGTGGCTTCCAGAAGCCAATATCCAGAGGTACTATTAGTGTCAGACCTCTTAATGGGACAAGTGAATAACACTCAATGCAGGTATTTTATATGCAGTAGTGAATGAGTGTAGGACTATAATCATGCTCACTACTTGCTATTGTTTTTGTTTTAATATTCAATTATAGTAGTGTTTTAAAAGTTAAATGAAGAATAAACGCAAATATAAAAGCTCAAAAAATACTTAGAGAAAGAATGTAAATGAATTCAGATAGGCCAATTGCTATGACAACTCCAGATTTCAGGGGATGTTACAGTCCCTTTTACTCTGTGGTCGGTAGAGGTTCTTTTTTTTTTTTTTAATTTTTTATTTTTTTTATTGGTTGTTCACAACATTACAAAGCTCTTGACATAACATATTTCATACATTAGATTCAAGTGGGTTATGAACTCCCAATTTTACCCCAAATGCAGATTGCAGAATCACATCGGTTATACATCCACAATTTTACATAATGCCCAATTAGTAATTGTTGTATTCTGCTACCTTTCCTATCCCCTACTATCCCCCCTCCCCTCCCCTC